GAAAATGTAAATTGGTTGTTTCTAATTTTTGTTTTTATTTCTCACGCAATGCGGGCATTGCTGGCAAGGCTAGCACTTTTTTAGTTATCTCTATTTGTCCTTGAGATGTTGGTGAACTGTCGCCTTGATTGCTGTAGTTTACATGGTGAAGGTATACCTGTGTTGTATAACACCCAGGTTTGATTTCTTGGGGAGGGAAAAAAATGTTGCGCTTATGTTACCCATAATCATCAAATATCACCCAATCCTTACAGCTGAAAAAGTGGCCTGTGCTTTTGATTCAATACCTGCTGTGCTTTGTTATTTCAGCAGCAATGGTTGTTTGTCATAGATTGGAAAGTTGACCTAGATGTCAATATAACCCTCTCTTCTCCCACCTCTTTTAGGTTTGGTGCGTGAGCAGGAGGCTGGTTTACTCGAGTTTGTTGACCACGATGGTTTCTCCGTGCTGATGAGAGCCATGCAGAGTGGCATTGAGAAGTTGAAGGTTAAAGCTGCATTTCTGCTGCAGAACCTGCTCATCAGCAACCCTGAGCACAAAGGTCAGAATTTGCCTTAATTGAGGTGTAGATAGGTGAGTGATCCCATGTCATCCTGGCCCAGACTGAAATAGTGGTGCGATTGTGTTTTAAATTTTATTTCTTCATTTGTCTTCCCCTCCTCTGCTAAAAGTGCTGACTCGCGCTGGGTGGCAATTCCACATTGGCTACTTATTCCCAGTAAGTATTGGCAGGCAGTTCAACTGTGGGGGAACTTGATAGTTTAGTTCGATTCTGCCCTCCTGCATGAACGTACACACTTTGACAGAAAGAGTTGGTGAGCACAAATGTGGCAGGCTTGTTTATGTCTTCAAGCATCCATCAGGTTTGCTATGGTTGAGGCTTGTTTTTGAACCTGGGATCAGCTGAAGTATCAAAGACCAGGTTTTATATTTGAGACCTCCAGCTGAAAATGGCTGTGGGGCGCTGTAGTTAGCACATTCGCCTGCATGGCTTGTACTTACTGTAACAACAGCAACTTGTATTTATTTGGTGCCATTAAGATTATAAAACAAGGAGTTTCACCATTGTGTTATGATGCAATGTTTGATGCTAAGTGGCATCAGAAAATATTCAAGCAGTTAGCTAATTTAAAAGAAAATAAAACAAAACTGCAGATGCTGGAAATCTGAAATAAAAACAGAAGGTGCTGAAAGAAACTGAGCGGCACTGGGAGCATTTGTGGAGAGAAAAACAGTTAACATTTTGAACCTTGTCACCTTTTGTCAGAACCCTTGTTTAAAGGGTTGGGATTTGAAGAGCAGCTTAAAGGAGGAAAGAGAGGCAAAAGATATATAGGGAGAGAATTTCACGGCAACTCATGGTACAGTCAGGTTGCATGAGAGGCCAGAATTGCAGGAGTGCTGACAGTTCAGAGGCTATTGGGGCTGGCAGAGGTTGCAGTGGTGAGAGGGGTGAGGCCAGGGTGGGATTTAAAATGAGAATGGAAATTTTAAAATCTGAATTTTGCTTAACAGGGAGGTTAATATAGGCCATTGTGCACAGCAGTGTTGGATGATCAGGGCTTAAAGCCAGTTGAGACATGGGCAGCAAAGGTTTGGGTGGCATTAGGTTTAGGGGGGTAAATGTGGGAGGCCAGCCAGGTGTGTGTTAGAGTAGTCTGGAATCAGCAACAGTATAAGTGAGGCTTTCAGCAGCATGTGGATTTTTTTTTAAATTTCATAGTATGTGGGAGATGCTGGCAATGCCCACCAGGTTGCCTCGTTTTTGTTTGATTTGATTTATTATTGTCATATGTACTGAGATACAGTGAAAAGTATTTTTTTGTGTGCTAACCAGACAAATCAAACCTTGCATAAGTGCAAAAGGGCAATAGATCAGAATGCAGAATAGTGTTACAGCTACTGAGAAGCTGCAGAGAAAAATCAACTCTAAGTTTGAGAGGTCTGTTCATAAGTCTGATCGAAGCCGTTCTTAAATCTGTTGGTACATGTTTTCAAACTTCTATATCTTCTGCCCGATCGTAGAGGGTGAAAGAGAGTATAACGAGGGAGGAAGGGGTGTTTGATGTTGGCTGCTTTCCTGAGGTGGCGGGAAGTATAGGTGGAGTCAGTGGAAGGAAAGCTGGTTTTCGTGCTGGACTGGACTGCATTCACAACTCCGTACTTTCTTGTGGTCTTGGGCAGAACAGTTGACATACCATGCTGTGATGCATTTGGATGGGATGCTTTCAATGGTGCATCTATTTAAAAAGAAATTGGTGAGAGTCATTGTGGACGTGCTGAATTTCCTTAGCCTTCTGAGGAAGTAGACCTTGAACTGAGTGTTCAAACCATCTCAAAGGGCATTTAAGAGTCAACCGCATTACTGTGGCCTGGAGTTGAATGTAACCAGACAAGATAATAGGTAGAAGATTTCCTGCTCCGAAGAACATTGGTGATTTTTTTATTTTGAGAACAATTGCTGATCATTTCTCGATCACCATTACCGACTACAGATTTTGCTAACTGAATTTAAATTCCACCAGCTACGGTGGTGCGCTTGAAACCGTATCGCCTGAGCCTCGGGATCAGTAATCTGGTGACGTTACCACACTATGCCACCATCTCCCTGAGACAGGCAATGTTATGAAGGTAGAAATGGGAATTGCAGCAGAACCATTTTATTTTGCACCCTCTCTGTAGTTCTGTTAAAATGTGACCAAATTTAGGAGCAGTTTAGGCTTTAACACACAGTTTACACACCAGAGCTTTAACATTGGTACAGAGCCTTAGTATTGATGCTGAATTTAGGGTCAGCGTGGGAGCTGGGAACGGGGTTGTTTGATTCTGTCTGGGTGTGGTTTTGTCCCATTAATATGCGACATTTCTTGGATGAGGATTGAACAGCAGTGCAGAGAGCATGTAATTTCATTCCTTGTCTGCCATTGAAGGCATTGACCTAGTAAAGCTCAGCAAGGTCCTCACTAATATGATGCTCATAATGGTAGCTCCCTGTTGGTTTTCGGCTTTGCAGACCAGGAGGTTCCACATCTTCATTTCCAGTGTGTGCTGACTGAGCTGCTTCTGTGTTGAAATGACTCTCATCTGTTGCGGCTCTTCCTCTGTGCCCCCTTCCCTGCAAAAAATCCTCAAACCCTTTATTGGAGGTACATTTGCACAGTAAAGGAAGGATCGGTCTTGTTTACCATGTCATGTTTGAATAGCCCACTAACCCTTGGATGGGATTTGGTTGTCAAAATCGGATAGAACTGACACATATGAAACTGCAATCCAGCAAGAAGCCAGTGCTTTACAAGGGCCGGGGGGTGAAATGTGGTAATGTTGAGAGAGCTAGACCACATGAATGCAATGTGTGAGCTCTCAACCCTGCTTCAACCAGTATCGGTAATTTGCAGGTCCTTGATGCATAATTTAAAATAGATCAAGAGAAATATTTCTTAATAAAATGCTGTGAGGGCATTGAAATCATTCAGCCACAAATCCATTGGATTATAAGATTGCATTTTCCCTTCCTACAGATGTTCTCTGCTCAATGGGGATGGTACAGCAATTAGTGGCACTTATACAGACAGAACATGATTCCTTTCATGAGCATGTTCTGGGTGCACTTTGCAGGTAAGTGAGATAAACCTTCTTTCCCTCCCACTATGTCATCACTGCCCGTTTTTATTTTTGCCTCTCCTTTTTACTGTCCTTGCAATTACTCATTTGTACACCTATTCCTCTGAGTGATCATTGGTGGACTGTTTAACCATAGGGAGTTTATAGCTGAGCTGGATCCTGCTCAGGTTCACCATCCGTGCACTTCCGGCTGCGATTCCTTTTATTAGCTGGAGACAAATGAGTTCAAGTGGGAGCTAACTTATTGAAGTTTGAGGGTGGAGCAAATCTGTTTGAGGGCATATTTGGGGAGATTTGATAAAGCTGTGCAAGATTGTTACAAGTTTACAGAAAGTTGACAAAAGGAAATGGAATCTAGGGAACGTGGGGAAATAAATAGTAACATCTTGAAAAATATCCATATTTCAGAGGAGCTGGTGCTGGACGTCTTAAAACGCATAAAGGTGAATAAGGGACCTGATCAGGTGTACCCTAGAACTTTGTGGGAAGCTAGGGAATTGATTGGTGGGCCCCTTACTGAGATATTTGTATCATTGATAGCCAGAGGTGAGGTGTCAGAAGACTGGAGGTTGGCCAATGTGGTGCCACTATTTTAAAAAAGTAAGAGGAAACTGGAACTATAGACCAGTGAGCCAGACATCAGTGGTGGACAAGTTGTTGGAGGGGATCCTGAGGGACAGGATTTACGTGTATTTGAAAAGGCAGGAACAGATTAGGGATAGTCAACGAGACATTGTGTTTGGGAAATCATGTCTCACTAACTTAATTGAGTTTTTTGAAGAGGTAGCAAAGAGGATTGATGAAGGCAGAACAGTGGATGTGATCTATATGGACTTCACTAAGGCATCCAACATGGGTCCACATGGCAGACTGGTTAGCAAGGTTAAATCGCACAGAATGCAGAGAGAACTAGCCATTTGGATACAGAACTGGCTCGAAGGTAGGAGACAGAAGGTGGTGGTGGAGGGTAGCTTTCCAGACTGGAGGCCTGTGACCAGCGGTGTGCCACAAGGATCAGTGCTGGGTCCCCTGCTTCTTACATAGAACATAGAACTGTACAGCACAGTACAGGCCTTTCGGCCCACGATGTTGTGCCGAACTTTTATCCTAAACCTAAGGTCTATCTAACCTCCATCCCTACCTTATACTATCATTCAAATGCTTATCTAATAGCAGCTTAAATGACCCTAACGAGGCCGACTCCACTACCCTCTCTGGCAATGCATTCCACGCCCCTACAACTCTCTGAGTAAAGAACCTACCTCTGACGTCTCCCCGATATCTACCTCCATTCACTTTAAAACTATGTCCCCTCGTAATAGCTACCTCCACCCTAGGAAAAAGTCTCTGGCTGTCCACTCTATCTATACCTCTGATCATTTTGTATGCCTCTATCAAGTCACCTCTCATCCTTCGTCGTTCTAAAGAGAAAAGCCCTAGCTCTCTCGACCTTCCCTCCATTCCAGGCAACATCCTGGTAAATTTCCTCTGCACCTTTTCCAACGTTTCCATATCTTTCCTGTAATGAGGCGACCAGAACTGGACACAATACTCCACATGTGGCTGAACCAGGCTTTTGGATAGCTGGAGCATAACTTCTTGAACTCAATCCCTCCTTTAATGAAAGCTAACGCACCATACGCCTTCTTAACAACTCTATCCACCGGGGTGGCAGCTTTCAGGGAACTGTGGACATGAACCCCAAGATCCCTCTGCTCCTCCACACTGCCAAGAATCTTTCCATTAACCCTGTATTCTGCTTTCAAGTTTGTCCTTCCAACATGAATCACCTCACACTTTTCAGGGTTAAACTCCATCTGCCACTTCTCAGCCCAGCTCTGCATCCTATCAATGTCCCTTTGTAACCTAGAACAGCCCTCCGCACTGTCCACAACGTGACCCACCTTCATATCATCCGTGAACTTACTAATCCATCCTTCCACTCCTACATCCAAATCATTTACAAAAATCACAAATAGAAGAGGACCAGAACAGATCCTTGTGGTACACCACTCGTAACTGAGCACCATGTTGAATATTTTCCGTCCATACCACCCTTTGTCTTCTAAGGGTCAGCCAATTCTGAATCCAATCTGCCACATTTCCCCCTATCCCATGCCTCCTTACTTTCTGCATGAGCCTACCATGGGAACCTTAGCAAACGCCTTACTTAAATCCATGTATACCACATCCACTGCTCTACCTTCATCCACGTATTTGGTCACCTCTTTAAAGAATTCAATAAGGTTTGTGAGGCATGATCTACCCCTTACAAATCCATGCTGACTATCATGAATCAAGCTATGCCTATCCTAGTGATCATAAATCCTATCTCTCAGAGCTCTTTCCAATAATTTGCCCACCACTGAAGTAAGACTAACTGGCCTGTAATTTCCGGGGTTATCCCTATTCCCCTTCTTGAACAAGGGAATGACGTTTGCTACTCTCCAGTCTTCGGCACTATATCCATGGACAGTGAGGATGAAAAGATCAATGCCGGGGGCCCTGCAATCTCTTCCCTTGCTTCCCGTAGAATCCTTGGATAAATCCCATCAGGCCCGGGGGACTTATCTATCTTCAAGTTCCTCAAAATTCCGAGTACATCTTCCTTACTAACATTCTCCTCCTCCAGTCCACCAGCCTGTTTCGCACTGTCCTCCCCTACAATGAGATCCGTCTCAGTTGTGAATACCAAAGAAAAGTATTCATTAAGGACCTCTCCTATCTCTTTAGTCTCCGTACACAAATTCCCTGTACAATTCTTGATCGGCCCTACCCTTTCTCTGGTCATTCTCTTACACCTCACGTACATGTAAAAAGCCTTGGGGTTTTCCTTGATCTTACCTGCCAAGGTTTTCTCATTGTCATGTGTATAAGTGATTTGGATTTAAACTTAGGAGGTATGGTTAGTAAGTTTGCAGATGATGACACCAAAATTGATGACATAGTAAACAGCCAAGAAGATTTCCTCAGAGAACAATGGGACCTTGATCAGATGGGCAGGTGGGCCAAGGAGTGGCAGGTGGAGGTCAATTTAGATAAATGTGAGGTGCTGTATTTTGGTAAGGCAAATCAGAGCAGGACTTGTATACTTAATGGTAAGGTTCTGGGGAGTGTTGCTGAACAAAGAAACCTTGAAGTGCAGGTTTATTGTTTCTTGAAAGTAGAGTCGCAGGTAGACAGAATAGTGAAGAAGGCATTTGGTATGCTTGCTTGAATTGGTCAGTGCATTGAATATAGGAGTTGGGAGGTCATGTTGTGGCTGTACAGGACTTTGGTGAGGCCATCTTTGGAATACTGTTCAGTTCTGGTCTGCCTGCTGTAGGAAGGATGTTGTGAAACTTGAAAGAGTTCAGAAAAGATTTACAAGGATGTTGCCAGGGTTGGAGGGTTTGAGCTGTAGGTAGAGGCTGAATAGGCTGGAACTATTTTCCTTCAAGGATTGAAGGCTGAGAGGTGACCTTTATAGAAGTTTTTAAAATCATGAGGGCCATAGATAGGGTGAGCAGCCAAGGCCTTTTCCCCACAGTAGTGGAGTCCAAAACTGGAGGGCATAGGTTTAAGGTGAGAGGAGAAAGATTTAGAAGGGACCTAAGGGACAACGTTTTCACCCAGAGGGTGGTGCATGTATGGAATGAGCTGCCAGAGGAAGTGGTGTAGGCTGGTACAATTACAACATTTAAAAGGAATCTGGATGGTACATGAATAGGAAGGGTTTAAAGGGATAGGGGCCAAATGCTGGCAAATGGGAGTAGATGAAGTTAGGATATCTGATTGGTAAGCATGAGTTGGACCAAATGGTCTGTTTCTGTGCTGTACATCTGTATGACTCAAGTTCCAGTTGGCTGATCATAGAAGGACTAAGGGACACAGCTTTAAGGGTTTGGACAATGGATGCAAGGTGGAGTTTGAAAAGAACTAGCCTGACGTAGCAAATATTAAAGGCCTGGTACAAGTGGCCCATAATGTGGTGGAAATGGAAACAATAAATAATTGCAGAAGGAAATGGGCAAAATAAATTTGCAGGGCTACATGGATAGAATGGAATTGCTCCCCAGTGAGCTGGCATGAACTTGATAGGTTGAGTCATTGCTCACAAAGTTGTCATTATTTTTTGAGTTGGAATATTGAAAGTACAAATGGAGAAAGGAAGTGCTCACCTTTGACATTTACCTTCAGTTTGAGGAAGGAAAGAGTGGGTCCAAATTGACATTTTAAGCTTAAAGAAAGGCAGTTACAAGCACAAGAAAGCAGAGCTAGCTGGTAAATTAGAATAGAGGATAGGTGAATAAAGATGCAGTGCAGACACAGAAGAAATACATTGGAATATTTATTTATATTTATTGCAAGGTGAGGGCCCACAATCTGTAGTTAACTAACAAAAGCTAAAGACAGTTTCAAACTTTAAGGAAAAGCATAAAAATAGAGGATAGGTGAAATTGAAGTAGATTAAACATATTGGAAATAAAACAATGTCTAAAACCATTAAAAAAAGAACAATTGAAGTATGAGAAAAAGCTAGAAGAATTTGTCTAAATATTTAAAGAGAAAAGAGGTAACAAAGTGAGCATTGATCCTGTAGGAAGTGTGACTGTAGAGTTAATAAGAGAAAGTAACGAGATGGCAGATGAATTAAACATATGTTGCATCAGCCTTCACTGTGCAGGGTACAAGTAATATGACAGAAGAAGCTGTAACTCGGGGAAGTAGAAGGGGGAAGAGGAACTCTCAATCACTAGGAAAGTGGTACTGAGCAAATTATTGGAGCCGCAGACTGCAGAGTTGCCAGGTCCTGATGAACTTCATCCGAGGGTCAACAAGTACATAGGTGATAGTAATAGTTTTTATTTTCCAACATTCTCTAGATTTGGGAAACGTTCCATTAAATTGGAAAGTAGAGAATGGAGCTCTTTTATTGAAAAAGGGAAGGAGACAGAAAGCAGGAAACCACAGGCCACTTATTAACTGATGTTAAACTAAGGTGTTAAAGCTATTAAAGATGTGTCTGAGGAAATAACATGTATATAACAGCTAAATAAAGAGGAATTGGTGGATCTACTGTACTTAGATTTCCAGAAGACATCAAATAATTTGCTACACCAAAGGTTATTGCAGAAATTAAAATCTTAAAAGTGTAGAGGGTAGTATATTTGGAATGTGTAAAAGATTGGCTGCTAACAGGAAACAGAATAGGATTAAATAGGTAATTTTCTGGTTGGCAAGGTGTAATGCATGGTGTTCCGCAGGAATCAGTACTGGGCCCTCCTCTTTTTACAACCTGTATAAATTACTTGGATGAAGGGACTGAAGGTATGGTTGCTAAATTTGCTGATGACACAAGGACAGGTAGAAAAGTTTATTGTGAAGAGGGCAACAGGAAACTTCAGAGGAATATCAATAGTTTAAAGGCAAAGATGTGGCAAACGGGAATATGTGGGGAAAATATAAAATTGTCCATTTTGGCAGCAGAATTAAGAAAAGGATGTTTCTTAAATGGTGGAGAGATTGCAGAGGGATCTGCATGTCATAATGCATGAATGATGTACAGTGTGAATACAACTCAGTGAGTTCTTGGCTTGAAGTGGTCTTTTCCCATTTTGATCCACAATCCAAAATACGTATTGATAAAGAACTGTGTGAATTAAATGACAGGCAGTGGCAGAGCTGGCTTGTCTGCTTTGAACTGATGGTTTTTCTAATGAGAATTTACAGTATTCCAAGATGCTCTGGTCGTTAGCCCGTTATGTACTCTTTCCTGTGGTGCATAGGACCAGTTATTTAGAAAAAAAAAAGTATGTAGAAGTCTGCTTTCTGTTGTACCTTCCCTCTTGTGGGTGTGCGTTGTGGGGGGGTGGGGGGAGAGAGAGGTTGTTCTTGTACGTGACAGACGCTGATCAGGTTTCTCTGCTTGAATTACTGAGTGTTTTTGTTTCTCTGCAGCCTTGTGACGGATTTTCCTCGTGGCGTGAGGCAGTGTCAAGAGCTGGAGCTGGGTCTGGAGGAAATTCTGATTGAGAGATCACGGATGCTGAAAGATCAGGAAGAATTTCAGGTGCGCAGGAGGTTTTGAATGTGGCCTGACATTAGAAATTCAAGCTAGTTGTTGTTGTATTATTGTTAGCATTGCTATTGCTCATTATTATCCTACAGGCCATTCAGCTGAATTGGTTTGTGCTTTATTTTTAACGAAGTCATATGTATTGTTGGCCAGGTCAGCATTTGTTGCCTGAGGAGGCAATGGCCTAGCGATATTATCACTGGACTGTTAATGCAGAGACCCAGGTAATGTTCTGGGAATCTGTGTTCAAATCCTGCCGTGGCAGATGGTAGAACTTGAACTCAATAAAAATATGGAATTAATTGTCTAACAATGAATCCATTGTTGATTGTTGGAAACACCCACCTCGGTCTGGAGTCGTATGTCGGTCAGACTGGGGGGGGTAAGGAAGGAAATCTGCCATCTTAACCGCCCTCTGGGCAATAAATGCTGGCCTAGCCAGAGATGCCCGCATCACATGAATGAATTTTTTTTTATCCCCTCATTGCCCTTCAGCTGAGTGGCTTGCTTGGTCATTGTAGAGGTCAGTTTAGAATCAACTACATTGCTTTGGGTCTGGAGTCACATGTAAACCAGACCAGGTAAGGATGGCAGATTCCTTCTTTAAAATTAGTAAAATGGAGTTTTTATGACACTTGATCATAATTGTCAATTTCACCATTGTTGATCATTGGTAATCAGTGAGACTATTTTTATTTAAATATTCCATAATTATCTTTTAAAAATTGAATTCAAGTTCTACCCCCTGCTGGAGTGAAATCATGACCCCAAATTACTAGGCCAGTGACAATACCACTACGTCGTAATCTATCATGAGGATCCACATGAGCCTTCTCTCTCCCTTCTATTCTTTTCTGTCGTGTGTTACACCTAAGCAATAGCAACAATTTGCACACAACCATTCTCTGAGTGCAGAGGTTCCTGGTGAATTCTTTGTTGCTTTTACTAGAATCGTGCTTTTACATCCACCAGTTTAGACTTCCGCATCTGAAAACATCTTTACGTCCACCTCTCCCAACCCCTCTGCATTCTTAAGGGCCTCTCCCAGACTCCCCCCTCAGCCATCTTGTTTATAACGATGAGCCCCAATGTGTTTAGGCTTACCCGATACTTGTAACCTCTCAGTACTGCTGTCATATGTTCAAACCTTCTGCACTTCCTCTGCTTCTATATTTTTTCTGCAATGTGGAATATTTGTTCTTTTTCGAAAGTCAGTGAAGAAGGTTTTCCAAGAGTACAGCGAGGTATTGATCAAATGGGTCAATGGGCTGAACAATGACAGATGGAGTTCAATCTGGATAAATGCGAGGTATTGCATTTTGGTACAACAAGCAAGGGCAGAGCTTATACAATTAATGGTAGGGCCTTGGGTAGTGTGGTAGAACAGAGGTACCTAAGGGTACAGGTACATAACTCTTTGAAGTTTGCATGACATGTAGACAGGGTGGTTAAAAAGGCATTTGGCACACTTGCCTTCATTGTTCAGTCCTTTGACTAGAGGAGTTGGGACGTCATGTTGAGGTTGTACAAGACATTGGTGAGGCCTCTCCTTGAGTACTGTGTCCAGTTCTGGTCGTTCAGTTACAGGAAGGATATTATCAAGCTGGAAAGGGTTCAGAAGCGATTTACCAGGATGTTGCCTGATATGGAAGGTTTGAGTTACAAAGGAAGGCTGGATAGGCTGGGACTTTTTTTTTAAACTGGAGTTTGAGGGGCAACGTGATAGAAGTTTATAACATAATGGGACATATAAATAGAGTCAATTTTTATGGATGATGAGAACAGACTGAGATTAGCAGAGATGCTAAAAGAATGTAATGTGGCTGATTTTAATCTTTCAACAGGAAGAGTTGGAGTTCTGTGAGCATCTCCTCCGAACTTGCTTCAGCCAGCCAGAGGAGCATGGGATGGATCGGTGATGTGCTACAACTGTTTCCTATTGATGCTGCAATGTCAGAGAAAAGTTCTTTGATTTTTCAAATGGCTTCCTACCATTGAGATCTGTAAAGACTCCGAAGCCTAGTGTGTTTCAAATCAGCCTATATATTACACCTATTTAAAAAAGTGGACTGTTTAAAAAACATCTTTTTGACCTTTTAAGTCGGTTCCAGGTAGAAATGTACAAAACGCCTAAAAGGAGCTTTTCCCAGTTACTCTTTGTAATGGATCCCTGTTTGGCATCGATTTATTTTCATACCCCCTCATTCTCCTTTAGTCAACTGTCGGATAAATAGTCAGCAAGTTGTGACCGGTACGACTTATAATTTCGGTCACTTGCTGTTTAAAATCTTTTGGTGCAATCGTTTCACTTCAGGTATTAAGCTGCTGACAGACAGCTGGTAGAGACTCTGTCATCGGTTATTTTCTGTAGACTTCCTGGCCCACTAGTACCAAATGCCCCTGTTGTGGTGCAGTGGTAGTGTCCCCACTCATGGACCAGGAGGCCTGGGTTCAAGTCCCAGAGGTATGTGATATCAACTCTGAATAAGTTGATTTAATGATAGGTACATTGTTTGCAATTTTCATGTATCAATTATCCCTCTCTTTCTAACCCCTGCCTGGCAGTTTTCCTGCAGCCAGCCCAAGGAATGCATAGTTTATTTCTGAGTGCCTGTCTGTCTGTGCTCCTGGAGAATCAATCCTATGATTGCTGCTGGGACGTGTAAACCCGGAAAAGTGACTTCAAATTGGTGAAGCTGCTGAGAACATTACCCTTGTCTCTGATCTTTGGACACCTTTCCCTACGCACTGGTCTATAATTTGAAGTGCTCACTGTAGCAATTCAAATGAAAAATAAGTTGAATTTTAAGTCGGGAGGGGTTTTTTTTTAAACCCTCTCATCTAGTGCAAGCATGTTAAATTGTTGTCTTAGTCTGGAAAACTGGAAGCATTAAGTAAGAACTGTGTGCAGAATGACAGCAGAGTTGTGACTCATTAGAGTGCTGATGGCCACAAGGCTTGCTGACCTGCTCTGCCTTGGCTATGGGTTGACCCTGAACCTGCAGCTCAAAGGATTAGCTGCAGCTCTGCTGGGAGGGCCCCTTGTGTTTCTCTGGCTAACAGGTAGCCTCAGTGCCAATCCTGGAAGATGCACAGTGCCCAATGTGTTACTGATCACTCCACACATCAACATTGCTTCTGAATTTGGAATGATTTAAAAACTGAAGCAAAGATACGACTGTAATAACCTGGCATAATTTTAAGTCTTTATTTTGTTTCTCTGCAAAACATTGAGATTCGGTTTCTGTGGAAAAGAAATATAGTTTTTGAATACATTCCAATTTGCATTTTTCTTTGTGTCTGCCAGTCATCATATTGACACAATCTTCCTTCTGTATGTTTTTTTTTAAAAACCTAATCTTCGCCTATCTCTAAAATGGCTCAGTGCCAGACATAATATTGGTCCCACTGTTCAATAGACAATCACTAGTATATGACAGCTTGCATTTATGTGGCATGTCTAACGAAGTAAAAGGTATTACTGAAAAGAGACACATTTTGTTGAAGCTTTTTGTCCTCTACTCATCAGGACCCTTTGCAAGAATACCAATTCAGTATGAAATCCAGTATTTGTACTATTTGAGAGAAGAGTGTTGATTGGTTGGTTGACAATGGATTTTGGTAAAATTGCCATGATAGTGTTTGACAGTTAAGTGCCAGGCTTTGTTTCAGTTTTTAACCGGTCAGATTAATGACAAATCGGTCAACCAGGCATTGGCTATTACTTATTTTGTTGAGTTGGAACAGGTGCATTGCATGTATATGTACTTTCTTTCTGCAAAGAACAGAATCGTGCATATTAAGATACGTAGCTTCCAGTACACACAGAGAGATCAGCTGACAATCTGAACTTCATCAGCATAATTCTTCACACTCTCTGCAATCTCCAACAATTGAATTGAATTAGTTTTATTGTCACATGTACTCCCATGAGTACAGTGGAAAGTTTATAAGACACCGCTTCGGGTGCCATCTTAGGTACCTGGGTAGATTCTTGAATACAAATTCTTAGGAAAAAAAATTAGAAATATAAACAAATAAAAAGCCCAGCATTACAGATCTTCAAAAGTCCAAAATCATAGTAATATATTGGAAAAATAAAGAAATGAAAAGTTCAGAAATAACAGTCCTTCCATGATAATATCACAAAGGAAAAACATTAAGAAAAAGAGAATGTTTACTTAATCCATTTCTGGGCTTGAGGGCATGATCCCTACCTGCCTTGGAAGCCTGAGCTGGACCCACCACGCTGCTAAAGAAAACGCTGCATTGAGTCAGAGACTGCTGAAGCTGCCGCAGGACACCCAGACTGATACCAACGAAAACACCCACCAAAGGTGCTGAAAGATTGTCCATTGTCTCCAACAATTACAGAATCGTTGAATGTTGTGCAAGTGTAGACTGGTTGATTGTATTCAGTAACTTGTTTTTTGTGAATAGCTTAAGGAATATGTTGTTTGGTACAACTTGCCAGTGTGTGGGATGTAGGGCTTACATACCTGATATCACACCAGCACTGGAAATCATATACCATGTTTCTCATTTGTGTGATGGACTAAATATCTTTTGGCTTTATGGCAACAGCCTGTAAGTGGCTAGCACCACTCATGTTCCTACTACATAGCAGAATGAAACACTGAGGTTCATCTTTTTGCTGAAACCTTTCAGATATCTTGCCGCGCCTCAGTAATGAGATAGACCAAGCGTGACTGTCTTAGATCTTTCATGCGGTTGTGCTATATAGGGCAAGAAGTGATCTGAGCAGGATAACAATTATACCGAAGGTGGCATTAACATGGCCTTTCTGGTCATTAATTGCTGCATTATTCCTGGCAACACATCTACAAATCAGAATCCACTTTTCAACTAATTGGTGCACTCAGGCACTGTAACTCAAGGTATTCTTGTGCATTGTCCTGATGAGTATAGCTGAAAAAATACGTCATCCTTGTCAAGGGTGCACACAGCACTCAGGACAAGTCTTATGAATATGGCTATATGTGATGCATCTAGGTCAAGGATTGATTTCGCCCAAGCTAATGGCATCTACCCTCCTCCACGTCCAAGCTTTTATCAATAGCCCATGGGATCTCACCTTCCCCCTCCAAACCATACAACTGCCCCCTGCTATTTCTCTTGCCACACACATTGGGTCACCCTATCAACGCAACTTATGTGGCCATCAGCCATCAAGACCTGGAGTGAGACTTGAAGATAGAGCTCTGTCTCTGAGGCAGAGACATTACCTACTGCCTGATGAGACTGTCTGTTATATATTTTCCAAAAGGTTTAACTACAAAATTACAGGAAGTACAGTAAAATTCAACTTGTCATCATACTAGAGCTCAGAATGTCTCTGCTTTTGTCTCACTAACTCCTTCATTAGGTGACACAATCACTTAGTAACAATACCTTCCATTTTTGTGTTGATATAAGGGGGATGTGGACTCTCTCAGAAGCAGAATTAAAAGAATACATCAGTATCCCCAATAATTATCACTGTTCCGTTAGATTTGAAACGTACAAGGAAAGCATCATTTCTGAAATACCACTACTTAAATCAGCATAACACACAGGCAAAAGCAATGTTTAAAAAAAATACTGATATACAGGTACTTCTATATATAATAAGCCATCACCCAAAATATACTTTTCATTGGTGGGATAACAGCTAAAC